ATCAGGCATTGCTCAGAGAAAATTGGTGTGCTGGATCCTTGTGCAGTGATTAATGCCAACACACTCAAATGTCTGACTCCTGTTAATGTCTTCTTGGCATACCTCTTCCGTTGGGGTCAGCAGGCAGAACCTTTGCCCTCCTCAAATAGCTTTAGTTTCATGGGGCAGACACTTGCCTCCCAAAAGCACCGTTGAAAATGCCAGGCCAAGGCCATGGCAGATATTTTGGTTTGTAGCCAGAGAGCAAACATGTATTCATGTGAATGCAGCAACCCAGATCTTTTGCTGGTGAGAAGCTTACAGCTGAGACAGTACTGTGGACTGTTTTTATAGCCCAATTTTGGTTGTTATAAAGAAAAAAAAACTGAGAAACAGATGGGTGTCATGTTAATAAGCAGGCAGACAGTGATGTGCCAAGAAAATTGGAATGTGCTGAGGTCCAGAAGTCAAGCCAAACCAAAACACATTTTTCTTCACAACATCTTAGAGAGGCCATTAATCACAGAAGCCAAAAGATTTGGGTGCAAGCTGGCAAGTATAACACACACAAAGGCCATGCATTCATTCATTACACTGACTCAAAGCAGGACATTTGCTGTTGGAAACGTATTGTTCAGAAGGTGGAAGGTTTCAGCCCACAGCTTCATCAGTCCATTTATTTTGTGCTTGACAACCCACGGCATGCTGCAACTTGGGATAAACATCTTTATAAAGTGCTTGCTCTGCTACAGGTCTCTGGGAGAGGACACAGGAGATCAGTATGCTAGGTTGCAAAAAAAAAAAAAAAATTATTTCAGAAAGCTTGGTTTAAGGAATTCAAGCCAAAATCTGCATATCAAAATAAATTGTTTTAATATCAGTAATAAATCTACTCAGACATCCTCTACAGTTGCATAAGGCATCCCCCTACTGGTTGACAGTTGCAATTATACTTGTTTCACAACTGATTGATTTTTCATGACTTCAGTGCCAATGTAGAACTGCTTTCCCCATACAAGGTTACCAGGTCTTGCAAATTTTACCTAAGTATCATAATGCTCAGCGTTGTTCAGAAACCTACAGCAGCTGGTGGCGTGCCACTGCACGATCATTTTTTTTTCCTAAAGCGAGTATAAATTAAATTTCAAACCCTCATGGTTGCATAGGAAAACTTGAAGACATCATGATACAATCAAACGATTCAAAAACCCAAAAACAAACAGAAGAAGCCCCAAATGTGTTGGGTTTAAGTCAGCTGTGAGTTGCGAGAGGGAGGAGGACTGGGCTCACAAAGTTTGCATGCTTGGCATTTGGCAATACTACACATACTTCAGGGAATAGTTGGACTGTTTAATATTAGAAAGACATTAGCTTTAAAAACGAATGAAACAAAAAACAATGCTCTCTTTGTTCAAGCTTGGTGGTAAAGGAAATTCAAAGCATTTCCTTTGTAAAATTTAACAGAGGGCAGCAATTTGGCTTCTAATCACATCCCAGCAAGGTATAGATGGTAAGATGTTATAAAGTTATCCTAACCTATCCCAATGGGATGACAGTGAAGCATTCTCTCCTAGTTGGTTTATTGTAATTCCTCTCTCAGCATGGTTTTGGAAAGCATGCTGCTAGGTGATTATCGTAGTTCAAAACCCAGAGATATCTTCTTTTGAGGACTGTTGTGCTGCTATAGTGCGGCATCAAACTGCCTCAAGGTAGCTATGACAGACATTTAGCTTTGTAAATGGCAGAGATTCCTGTCACCAACTTCACTTGCTTTATCTGTTTCCAACAAACTACCTTAAAAGCAAGTTTTAAAAAAAAAAAAAAAGGTCCATTGAACCCTTTGCTCTCAGGACTTGTCTATCTGAAGACTCACCATACTTGACAAAAAGATGTTATTTGACTGCAAGACTGGAGGCAGGCAGGATACAAATCCATTATGGTACATCCCCACCAAAAAACCCCAAAACACAACCCCATGCTAGATCCACTACGCTCTTTCCTGTACCTATGCCCACCCCAAAAAGTCTCTGCTCCTGCATGTAAGTGTAACATTCATTTTGAAAAGTTTTTATTCTCATCGTTTTGCAGTGCAAGACAGAAAGATAGTGAAAACACCATTGTCTGCCTTCCCTTCCACCTGACCTTTTTAGAAGATGAGCACTGCCGAACGGCTCCAAATTAGTGACTGGAAAGTTACAAGAAAGCAGGTTGTTTAGCTTGACTCTGTTCCTAGAACGCTGTCTAGGAACAAGCTATGGTTCTGCAAGGGTTAACACAGCTTTGGACCCTCAAGTATCTTAGGGCACCCACCCGAATGTCTGAATGGCTTCCTTCCTTCTGCTGCACGCCCAAGTAAAAACACTGGAGCAAATACAGCAGGTTCGCAGCATACACAGCCCTTGGAGCAAGATAACACTCTCAATGACAGATGCCTTCCCGCACACCCATCAACACTAACTGTAAGAGAGCCAATAAACTCACATTTGTGTCATACATTTTCATGACGCTTTTGCAAGAAGTGTGGCCTTAAGAAACCACGTAACCATGACAGGCCTAATCCTGACCTCACCTGGCAGATAAATGCAGGGTGATTTATCAGTAGTTCCCACACAATAGTAGCTGAAAACCTAGACTGCAAGTTATTCAGGGCCTCCTGGAGGAATGCACAAAGGCCATCTCTTCTTGAGCTTATTTTCTAGTGCAAGCAGGAGAACTTTTTGCTGGGGCAAACAGGAATAGTTTTACTTTTTACAACACCCTTCAAGTTATGCTTTCAACAAGCTGTCCCTCCTCTCGTGCTTTGCTTAAAATAATGCAGATCTCTTGTAATTCTTTGTGGGGCTTATTTGACATTTTGGGGCACAGCAAACAAAAATGAACAACTTTTGAGGGGTCTGCAAGTTGCTGGGCAGTACCCAAAGCATAATAGGGAAAACAAAACCTAACAAAGAGACTGTTTTCTTTTCTGGATTGGTTAATGGCTTTCCTCAAGCCTCATAAGCAAGTGTTCCCTTTTTTTGATTCACATTCTACATTGTTTTTCTAATAGGAAACTAGCTTGTTTCCAATTTATCAGACAACTCCTTAGCATCAGTCAAGGACCACCTTCCTGCCCCTGCCAAGACCCTTATCAGAACAGTGGTTGACAAGGAAATCCTTTGCTCAATATTCACTTTGGCTTCTTAAAGCATTTTACTTGCAGTGCTTAGCTGTATATCAAGCCGAAGTACCACTGTGTAAGCATTTATAGTTTTTGTTTTTGATTTTGGAGGCAACCATTTAACACTACATTTTAGCTCCTGGGGGGTTGAATTTGCCTGTAAGTCTGAAATCCCAGCAACGGAAACCAAAGTATGAGGCTTCCAGAACATGGTCCTAAATTGTGCAGATTGCATCAGTTCATCTTGCCCATGGTACCTCACTTAAGGGGGTCTGGAAACAGGGTGGTCATGTATTGCCGGATTTACAATCACAATGCTGGTACACTTTGAACCAGGGTGAAAAGTTACAATAGCTTCAGTGCAACAAACTCAGTCTCATTGAGTCTGAGGTTCAAAGAATAGTAGGTGCATAGGACAGGCAAAACACCCATTGGGCTCCTATATTCTCTTCAGAATTCCATGGTATTTGCCATTCGTATTTGCCTGTGTCAATTTACTGGGTGAAATTCCCATTTCTTTTAACTGTACAAAGGTAGTTAACTCTTCCAGCACTTTAATATTTTTATATTTGATTATATGGAGTTTTTAAATCTTTCCTCATAATGCTTTCTCTTTCCCCTTGGTTGCCGTTTCTGCTACCAATCTTTATCACCTGCTGTCATTCCCCAATGCCTCCAGTGGAGGTATTTTCCGTGCTGAGAAGTTAGGTTAGGATATACAGTCACAACTGGACTCCTTCAGTACCCAGGCTAGCTCAGGTCACTTTGTGCTCCACTGTAGCCTGCAATACAGACATATGGCACTGTGAGAAATATGGCACTGACAAAAAACGCACATTAGAAAAAGTGAAGCCTGTCCACTAACTGAGAATGATGCTATTGTCACATATTATATAGGAAAGATAAAGGGCTTTGCTATTTTGTTTTGCAGTAGAGTGTCCTTCACTGACCACAGCAAACGCCAAAATGAACTCTGCTGCACCACTGTGAAAACATGCATCTTCTGAAGAGCTCGAAGCACAGGAAGAAACACAAAAGATAAAAATTAATCTATTCTCCATTCTCCCTGCTAGACCCACTGATCTTTTCACAACACGTCTTGATAGAAATGCACACAAATCTCATCACTGATCTCCTCTTTGTGTTTTACTCCATTACCTCTCTTTTTTGGTTTTTGATTGAACTGTAATCCCAGGGAAGGACATGCCTATTCTCATACATTTGGACAATGCCTAGTAAAATGGCTGCCCAGCATTTGAGTAATCCATGTAATGCTTAGAAGTGTCCACAGCCACTGTGCCTCTTGTCTGGGTGGATTGGTCATGACTTCCTACTCCATGAATAGTATACACAAGGGAAGCATTGATAATAAAGATAGATTCTTCTACGGGCTCCGAAAGCTAGTTAAAACTTCCTTCTCACTCAAGTGGAGCACTGCATGCAGATAAACACACTAACCTTAGAACGAAGCCATATGTGAGCTTATGAAAGTTTGGCAGCATTGTATAGCCCTCTGTATGTTTCTAGTTAGACTCAGTGCTGCAATCAGATCCATCTCAGCTACTGAGTAGTACTGATAAGACACAGCTGCTATTTGAAAGATGATTTGAAGCAATGGTTTGTACCTATGCACCGAAAAATTCAGAGAACTGGTATGTAGTGAGACTAATTCTTTTAGCACGAGACAGCAGCAGACAAATTAACAAAATTCACCATTCCTACTGTCCTGCTGCAAGTAGGAAGAAAGAGGATACACACATAAAACGATTCCTATGCCATAAATTAACCAGCTCCGATAATCTTCCCCTTAAACATGCCCACCACAGAAAGAAAACCCAAGGAGTGAGGATCAAGCACAAAATTATCACTTCATGCATTTTATTGAGTTTGTTTAAAATTTGCATTATGACATCTTACACAGGGAACAAACTCTTCCTAAATGTTAGTTATCAAATATGATCAAATGGTGTTATTATGACCTTTTAGAGTACCATTTTGTACTAAACAAGTCCAATATAAACAGATGTAAAACACTGTACAAGAAGGAAACTTGTTACATTCCCAGTTTGGTATAGGGCTTCCCAACCAATGAACTGACTAGTAAATACTGGGGTTCAGGAAGGGGTCTTGAAATCGTAGCTGAAATGAACAAAAAGCCAGACAGAACCAAATAGAATTCAATAATGGGCCCATGAAAAAAATAGGCTCCTTAAGTGGAGGAAAGGTTGGGAAGCCCTCATGTCACAGAATCAGACTTTTTAATTTTTAAATACAAACATAATTTACTGTGCTTTGGGTAACCTTTATTACCACTGGATTTGTTCCTGTCTCCTCTCCCCCATCAAAACCCCTAAACAAACAAACAAAAAAAGCTGCTGAAGATGTGAAATATATTTCTGAATCTGTTGCTGAATTCCATTAACATGGCTCAAAGCAAACCCACCCCCCAAAGCAGCTCCTCCTGGGAGTAGCCAAACAAGTGGGTAAAGGCAGTCCATGACATCTGTGTACCTAATCAACTTAACACCTATCCACATACCCC